TCAAGCTGCTTGGGAAGTCTGAATGTTCCCTTCCAGTCTGGGGCTTCTTCTTTTTTTGAGGCAGTTAGCGAGGTGCACATAACTGCATATTCGCACCCCCTCCCTCCCTCCCTCTCTCTCTCCCTCACGCACACACACACACACACACAGAGGAACTTCTCAAAACTGTGTTTTCTTTTTAAAAAACCTCCAAAGAAAGACTCCTGTGTACTTTTCTTTTATACTTTCCAGCCACTGGGTGAAAAAGGGGTTAATTGAAAATATGAGTTTGTTTCAGAGAGGGAGGGGGGTAGGGAGTCTGACAGCAAAGCTGGTGACTCCAGCTTCACTCCAAGCTTTTAAATAAAACCTCCAGCAACACACAGGACAAAAGATGAGGCTTCTCTATTGTCTCCTCCCAAGCTTTGAAATGCTGAATTTATCAAAAGCAGTTTCAAAAACACTTCCTTCACACTGAACTAAATATCCCAGCAGCCTTCTTCTAGCGATCCCATTGGCCACCAGCTGCCACCATTCTGCCAGGAATTTGAAGCGATGCTTCCCATAAGCGCTTATGCACACGCTCAATAGACAAATGGTTTAACAAAAAAAACCTGTCCAACCACCCCACTCTGTGGCTGCCATGTCTTATCAATCAACCATGGAGTGAAAGTGCATTGAAGTTCTTAACCACTATACCAAACTGAAATTGCTTTTTAGGTACTTTTGTAGTGCCCAGAGCATCCATGACTTTAGAATGGAATGGAGATGCAGGTGGTGGTGATCGGTTTAATAAATAAATAATAAACCAGTTGTCAGCATTAACTAGTCCATTGGGAAATGGTTTACCTTTTGCTTCTCTCTACAATACATCGGCAGTGAAATCCTGTGCATATGTACCTGAAAGTTAAATCCCATCAAATAAACTTGTATAGGGTCAGGTTGTGTGCATAACCTAAGACAGTAATAAAATCTCTTGGGAGTGGTAGTTCATACTACTACCCAGGGCTATTTTTGGGCAGGAACGCACAGGAACGGAGTTCCGGCTGGCTCCCAAGTTCGCCACGCCCAGCAGTAACTCATTAGCATAATAGGGCACACCCAACAGCAGAGACTCATTAGGATTGGCTACATTAGGGGTGTGTGGCCTAACATGCAAAGGAGTTCCTGCTACAAAAAAAGGCCCTGGGTTTTGACCACAAACAAGGTAAACAGAATAACAAGCAAAAGGTGGGTGTGGCTGGATGACCACACTTCTGGTAACATGGGGGTGCGGCCTAATGTGCTAATGAGCTGTGCTGTGGCCCAATATGCTAATGAGTTCCTGCTGTTGGGTGTGGCCTGTTATGCTAATGAGTTCCTGCTGGGCTTTTTCTACAAAAAGACCCTAACCCCAATTTTGGGGGGGGGGGTTTGGGATCCTAATGAAAACAGCTGATGAAGGTAGCTATGTTCTTGGCCATCACAAATATCCTTTGCTTCATATTTTGATTGTCCAATTTATAATACAGAAAGAACAGCATGAAGTGGCTATCAGAGCCCTAGAGAGAAGCCATTTATAAAATAGGAAAAAAACTTCACCTTGAAAAGGTTTCTCAAGAATTTACTCAATTGTCCCAATTGCTATTAAAACATCCCACATTGTTTGGCAACTCTTAATGAAATATTCAGCCAAGATGGAATTCTTACCAAATTAGTGAATTCTACCTTCTGCGACATTCTGAAATCCAATTGTTTTGGAAAGGGGTTGCTGACTTGTCCACCTAGATGATCTCTGCAGTGAGCAGAGATTTTGTGTGGTATAGTGGCAGAGCATTTACTCACCATGCAGGAGATCTTAGGTTCTGTCCACAGAATCTCCAGTTAAAGGGATCCAGTGATGTGGAAGTCCTCCTTTTACCAGAAACCCTGGAGAGTGGCTTCCAGCCATCGTAGGCAATACCAACCTTGGCAGACCCGTAGAAGGCAGCTTTGTGTGTCCAAAATGGAGATAAAACCCATAAACTCGACATTCTACTCATGAACAGCACTTTGTGTGACCATGGTATTTCAGCCAGAGCCAAGGTTAATTACAGGGCTTTCCTTCCAACCAGTTCAGATACCCATTGCTGAACTTTTCTTTCTTTCCTGGAGATACAATCATTTAATCCTTCTCCTTAAATCTCTATAAGGCTACACTGTACGAGCTTCCCAAGCCAGCCCTGCCTTTCGGTTTAATAGCCCAACAAACAGAAAGGACCTGTACCTTCTCTTCATCCTGAAACAGCACAGGCAACAAAAGAGGGCGTCCTGGAAGACCCCCCAGCATTTAGATGCCTTCATCTCCTTTGACAGCAGCTTCCAATGACTCTTGGGAATGCCAACCAAGCCCAAGACTCAAGCGACGGACAGGTTGAGCTACTACCATCCAAAGTAAAACCAACCAACCCCTTCTAACACTGGCCTTTCAGAATCCCCTGCTGGCTTGGGTGGAGATTCTTGATTAGTTACCACCAAGGCTCTTTGACCCTTTAATATGATCATGCCATCTCAGTGGTTAGGTGCCGCCATTGTGACACCTCTCAGCCAATGGTTTCCCCCCTTCCTTCTCAATGATTTGCATACTAGCTGTGCATTGGTGGAGAGGTGCAAGCCTTGGGTGCAAAAGAGGAGAGGGAAATTAAACGATGAGAAGTGTGGGTGCAAAAGAGGAGAGGGAAATTAAACAAGGATGAGAAGTAGAACTACTCCATAGATGTAATGGGATGCTCTCTTTATATTCATAATCACAGTACCGCAGAACTGTTGAGAATAAAGAGGAGTAGAGGTTAGAGTGTCAAACTAGGATCTGGGAGAATCAGGTTTGAATTCCCATTCTACATGGGGTGATCTTGTATTTAGGATGTTTATTTAGGAAGCCACAACTTCAGGTCAAAGTTGCCTGTGTCATTAACTCACTCGGTAAATTTGGTCTCTTTCTTGTGGGGATAACAAAACTGGCCTACCTTACAGGGCTGTTGTCAGGCTTAAGGACAGAAAAATTTACCCTCTGTCAAGTGTTTCTGAACACCGAAAGTGTGATATCAATGCTAAAATCATATACATTGCATTAAAAATCTAAATCCATCAGTCCACATTGTTGTTGTTCAGTTGCACAGTTGAGTCCGACTCTTCACAACCCCAAGGACCACATCACGCCAGGCCCTCCTGTCTTCCGGCGTTCACTTAACTTCATGTCCGTTGCATCGATAACACTGAGGAATTTCACAGGCGATATATTCCGGTTCAGGAACCGTTCCCAAACGGTTTCTGGTCTGACATTTCAAACAGAACCGTTTTAGAACCGGTTCCCTACCGGAATATATTTGTACTTTCACACACAAACTCTTCTGTCCCGTTCAGGAAATGGGGCTGAACCGTTTTACCTGTAAACCACTTCCAAGTAGTCTTCAGTTTCTTCTCCCGGATCCGAAATGCTTTTTCCCATCGTTTTTTGCCCGCGCGGGCGATCTCTGGCTTTTTTTTTGAACATTCACTTTAGAGCGCTATAACACAGCAGCAAAAAACAGCGTTCTAGCAACCCCATTGAAATGCCTGAGTGTTCCGTACTAGCGCTATAGCGCTCTAAAGCGAATGTTAAAAAAAAAGCCAGAGATCGCTTGTGCGGGACAAAAACGGCAGGAAAAAGCAGTGCAGTCTGAAATGGCAAACTGCTTCAGATCCAGCTGTTTACTGGTAGGGGAAAGCAATGTGTGAAATGGCAGCCCTATACCAGTTTACTCCATGACGGATCAAAAACGGCTTCAAACTGGCTTAAAAAGGGTAATGTGAAATTCCTCAGTGTCTAACCATCTCATCTTTTGCTTTCCCCTTCAATCTTTCCCAGCATCAGGGTCTTCTCCAGTGAGTGCTCCCTTCTCATTAGGTGGCCAAAGTATTTGAGCTCCAGCTTCAGTATCTGGCCTTCCAGGGAACAGTCAGAGTTGATTTCTTTTAGGATGGACTGATTTTCCAAGGGACTCAAGAGTCTTCTCCAGCACCATAATTCCAAAGCATCTATTCTTTGGCACTCAGCCTTTCGTATGGTCCAACTCTAGTAGCCGTACAGTACTATCGCTTTGACCATACGGACTTTTGTTGGTAGGGTGATGTCCATACACCTGTGCAATTAAAATAGCATGTATTTGTTAGATAATATATTTGTGCATACAACTTATCTTTGTGCATATGTATTATATTTTAACTGTATATATGGTATTGCACGAAAACTGTTTAAAAGCTATCGCGATAATAAAACTCTAAGTCGGCTTTTTATCAATTAATGCACTTTCACTAGAAATCTTATTTTTTAAAAAATCATTAAAAAAAAAGAAAAAAGCAGGGAATAATGGTAATTCATTTCCCTCCGGCGGCAGCTCAGAATTAAGAAACCACCCGGACTAAACCATCCACAACCATCTCTGGGTTCCCTTCTGCTTTTCCACGCGCCCCTAACCAATAGCGGACGGAGGTAAACTCAGGGACTTCAACCAATGAAAAAAAATCCCTCTACCTTTTCCCTCCGCCCCCTTCTCCTTTCCCAATCATAACGAAAAGAAAGGTGAGCGGGCGGGAGCAGAGGATTTGAACCAATCATACCCAGAGAACAGAGGAGGAGTGGGCGGGACCCGTCTGCCCTCCCAGCCACTGAGCAAGCAAAGAGACGAACCAGCCAATCCAACGCCCACCTGACGCCGCTCTGCTTCTCTCACCAAACTTGCTCGGGGGCTGGAAATTCCCTCCGTTCCCGGCGCCCGGGCGCGAGCGGGGGAGGGCGAGCTCGAGCTTTGGCCCCGAGCCAATCGGAGAGGCGAGTGGGCAGCGGCGCGGCCCGTCATTGGCTGCCGCGGGAAGGCCGGCGTGGGTCTTGCGTGTCGCAGCCGGGTAGGGTGTGCGCCGCCGAGCTCTTGGCTCTGCGCTGCCGTGAGGGGACGGGGGCGAGGGGGCGGGAGACGGGCGGCGCCTCAGACGTTGCCCCGGAGGGGTCGTGAGGCGGGAGGGAGCGGCCGGCGGAGGAGGAGAAGAAGAAGGGGGAAAAGATGGTCGTTCCTCAGGCGGTGGGCCGGATGGGAAGCGGTGAGTAGCCAGGTTCCGGGGGGGATGCAGCTGCCTCTGGGGAGGAGCCCCTCTGTGTGTGTGGGGAAC